TATATATATATATATATATATTTCTCTTCAAATGTTTAATTTACAAAAGCATATATCAATACTTAATCTAAAATTAATGTTTCGTAAATTTTTTCAGGACTCGGAGGCTATGGTAGTGGTAAGTTTAAACAAAAAAATTTGTATGTATATGGAATGTAGATACATATGTAGATAATGTAATAATAATAACTAGAAATTAATACTTAATGATAAACTAAATATAGTTACGCTTCGTTTTCATTTTAATAGAATAACACGTTTCAAAAATATTACACTAAAAAATTTACGTAGCCTAAAAATAATATAGAAATAAGTATAATTAATTAGATAACATAATAAAAGTAGTTTTAAAAAATTGTCTAAAACAAACGGTTTTTATTCTTTGCTTTTTTTATAACAACAGTAATCATTTTTTGCAATTTAATAAGACCATTCTAATATATAAAGCTTTTTATACGCGCTTTATTTTTTTATATAATTTTTTGCACATTTTTAGATAGTCACGGTGATGGAGGTGGAATTAACAAAGTTAGTGGAGGTGGTCATGGTGGAAGTGGGTCTGGTGCCGGCGGCTACAGTGGAAGTAGTGCCGGTGCTGGCAGTTATGGAGGAAGTGGTTCCGGAGGACATGATGGTGGTGGTCACGGAGGACATGGTGATAGTTCTGGTGGTGGTGGTGGTGGTGGTGGTGGGTATGGCGGGGCTGGTTCTCATGCAGGTAGTTACGGAGGTGGTGGTGGTGGTACCGGAGGTTACGGTGGAGGTGGCTATGGCAACGATGATTTGGGAGGTAGGTTCTAATGCAGATAGTTACGGAGGTGACCATAAAAAAACATTTAAAAAAATATTTAACTTATTTATGCCATTAAAATCTATTCGATTTAAATATATTTGAAATTATCTTTGTTTTTTAAATTTTATATTTTCTCGACATATTTTTATTATTTCTACAATTTTTCCAGTAATTCTAAAAATTTGAATTATTCTACATTTCTATATCTCTTCAAGTTTTGAGACATTCTATGTAAATTTCAGTAACAGATGGTGATGGTAATCTTGAAAAAGGTATATTAAAAAAATGAGCTAATACTAATGCTGAATTAGGTGGACATGGAGGACTTGGCGGTGGTACTGGCGGATTAGGCGGTGGACATGGAGGAGGTTTAAGTGGTGGATACGGTGGAGGACATGGAGGTGGATTGGGCGGTGGACATGGAGGTAATTAGAATAAAAATTTAACGGCACTTGAGACAATATTAATTACCCAGATAACCAAATAAAGATAATACGTTGCCATTTTGCTGTCACTTATTCCGCATTCAATTTCACCAAACTAAAGCCAAGGTGTTTCCACAAACTGTCTATTGTTCAGACGTCGCATAAAGTCTTTCTTAGAATTCAGCAAACTGCTGGCAAGTTGTCATCATGCGTGCAGTAAGACGTAAGTGTGCCGTCAGTTTGCTGTCAACATGACGAGTTTATTATCAAATTTATTTATCAAGTTTATTCTCAATGTATACTCTTACAATTTCATGAACTCATGAAGTCTATTTGCTCTCCTGATGCTAACTCAGTTTCACATTAGATTCTAATGACAGCAAATTGTCGACAAGTTGAAAACAATACATGCAGTGCATCAATTTGTCCCATATGCTAAATCTCACTTGGCTATCTGAGTAATAAAGATAAATTAATTAATCATTGGGTCTCATGTTCTAGGTGGATGTGCTAGTGGAGGATGCGGTCTTGGTGGCGGATATGGTAATGCTAATGCTCAAGCTAGTGCGAGCGCAAATGCCGGTGCTGGAAGTGGCGGATATGGAGGTCACGGAGGTCTTGGCGGTCACGGACCGGGAGTGGAGTACGTATTATAAAAAGAAATATATATACGAGTACATATCATAAAACTTTGAAGTATTTCAGGTATTTTCAATCTCTGTTACCCATGACTTGAAAACAATTTATATCGGTGCCTCAATTTTTTTTAAAAGATAAAAATAATATTTTCCAATTTGACAATCTATAATTATAATTAATATCTCGGTGTTATGATTATAGTCCAAAACATTGCAAGAAAAATAATTATTCGGTAATTGTCTAATGACATCAGAATTTGGTACATGATGAACTAATCCACGTTTTCCCAACAGAATAGATTTCAAGGTGAACAAGTTTCTTGCTTGTAAGACCGAATATCTCCGTACATCTTATTCGTCATACAATCCATAATACGCAAACTACGTATTTGATGATTATGGAAATCGGCAAAACATGATAATTTATTGAACAAATATACCTTGAACAGACATAAGTCAACAAAGACTCAAGTAGCGAATACTAATTGTTATTTCTTTAAGAACTTTACACATTTCATACAAAATTTTCAATATTAGAAAGTTTTTCAGTTTTATTAAAAATTATGTTTCCTTTTATTTCTATAAAAAAAATTCTAATATTATTGAAATTATTAAAAAGTAAGGAAAATGTTAAAAAGAAAAGACATGTCTGAGATCGTCATCTAAAAATTTAAAAGTACTCATTATGTACTTTATTATAGCTTTCAAGTGAAAGTATTAAAATCCCTTGATAAGAGACATGAATTTTTTATAACCGTTTGATTCCGTTTGTAGTCTATTCTCTCGTATTGGTGACACTGATGATGGTGGTACGAGCAAGAGCGGTACTGTCGATGGAGCCAAAGGAGTTTACAGCAGCAGCGCGTCTAACATAGACAGTACCGGTAAAGGTACTTACTCCGTTAAAGCTGGTAAAATTCCAGCGTAAATCTCGCATTTAATTTTCATCTTGATTTCGGAAATTGTTGCTGTGCTAGAGATCTTCCTGACGACTGAAGATGCATAGCTGTGATTACAAAACTATTTTTACATAAACGTAGTACAATTCAAGCGGTCTACGGTTTATTTATTTCCAAATCCCGTCAAGCGTGATGTGATGCTTAAAATAAATCCATGAGATTATATAACATTTTTCTGAGTGCTTTATTGATGTTTCCTAATCCCATAAACGAAGGAAAAGTATTTACGTCTTCTGGAATTAACGTCAAGATCAATGTCTAAATAGCATCGAAAATATTTCTAACTATTTTCGTATTTCTAAATGATTTAGAAAACCTCTTTAATTTATTTTAGTTAAATTAGAGTGATCCACTTTCCTGTTTACCCATTTTCGTAACAAAAAAATTTTATTTTTTCGCATCTTATTTAAATATCTACAATCTATTATAATAATACATCAAATATGTCGTTATCTAATAAAGCAGAAACTAGCAATTACGACGTTTAGTTAGAAAAATTACATTTTTTTCAAGTTTTGTTTTTATTTCTAAATGTAGTCAAATGAAATTTTATTGAATCTTAAATTATCTGATTTAACGCTTTAAAATCTTTCAAAATATAAGGATATAAATATGACGAATCATAAGAATCAATCAAGTAAATCATAATGCCTGTTAATGTTACCTCGCTATATAATAAAGCTATCTAGTTAATGCTGTTTTTATTAGCCGGGAATACCGGTTTCTCATTAGTTCTTCGCTAATGAATGCTCGACAAATGATGTAATTTATCGCTAATCGCGTTGTGCAACTCCGTGATTATAATATAATAGTCTGACGGTACATAAAGACCTGTTTGTGTTCGTCGGGACTACAAATCCGGTTGCATGATGATGATTGACTGGAAATTCTTTTGTTATTTCCTCGTTTTTTTTACAATGTATAATTATCCATCTTTAATCGAGTGTGTTAATATATTTTCTGCACAGTGAGTTTTGTATGTCTCATTTTGTATATATGTTTTGTACGCCACAATAGAATTTTCATTATTATTATTATTATAAATTGGTTGAACACATAAAATATATAGTGTAATATGATTAAATAAGATTATATTTTCGCAATTAATGTATTGAACACGCTCTTTTTTTAAACTGTTATTTAGCTAACTGTGCATAATTACAAATTTTGTACTAGATAATATTTATTTTTATAAGCGTTTTTAAAAAATGGTAGTGCTAATTATCAAAGATAGTTATAAGTAATCAACATAATTTATAATTTTAAAAAATGCATCATTTTCTTTCCTTGTACGACACATTCATATACATATAATACGTATAATATGAAATCAGTGAAGAATTAGTCGATACATCTCTGTGGGTGATGATGCGTATTTTATAGCTTAAAATACCCAGCCCAGTATCTACAATCATTCATGAATAATTCATATATAGTGATTTTTTATACATGTATACACTTTTTATGGGTATACATGATTTTATCTAATTGATGACGCAAACGGTACTCCTGAGAAGAAAGGATAATACGTATATATGTATTTTATATCATTTGACGATTCTATTATTTTTCGCCTTTTTGTAATTATTCGTAACACGCACTATAATTTATGCAATGTGTAATAATCAGAGTGGAAAAGTTATTTTTTTTAATTAACTACAGTTACCGTTATTTAAAAAGATAACAATCTGTTTTACTTTTTCCTTTATCTTTTAATATTACAAACATGATCAAACTTAATTACGTTTTGTTAAAATATTAATAAAAGTAATAAAGCTTTTTATCTTAAATTCGCAAAACTAAAAAAATTTAAAAAGAAAGATTTTTAATGCTTCATCAATAAATACTAAAAAATGTAAATAAAATTTTCGATTTTTACTAAATTTAGAAATACATTTCTAGGTATATTTATGTTGTACTTTATTGAAAATCGTGATGCTATGATTTTATGTTATTTATATCATTAAATTCATAATGTCGTATTCAAATTTCGCGGTTGCATTTGGACCCAAATATGATTGGTTGTTTTATTATGCCACCGCCATTATGCGCAATGTAAAGCGGGGAGCACAGACTCTTGCATAAGAATATATACCAATCGAAGTTCTCCGTTTCATTCCCTTCCATGTAATAGAGAACTCTGGTTGGTTCAATTTCTTATGCCTCATGTGTTATGCGTTATGCAAGAGTCTGTGCTCCCCGCTTAATTACACCTTGTCTTAAGCCTTGTGTCCATGATGCTAGAAATCGGTCCAAGACCTCGGATGAAGAAAGAATTGACCAATCGCAATGGTCATGTGATCAAATTGTTCAAATGTGATTTGTTAATTTTTTCTCTGTCCGAGATCTCGGAAGTCTGTGCTCCCCGCTTTACACCTTGTCTTACTACACCATGGTGTGGAGCAGCGGATCTACAGGCATGAGAGAAACCTAAACCAATCATATTCAATTGGCAAGCTGGCTACCTGTTTTGCCGACTTGGCGTCTGTTACGTGCTGATGTACGAACTCCGAAGAGAGGTTAAAATTGTTTTGAATTTAGACGACTCACGAAAAGAGATCAATTGTTCGTATTATTTACAAAGGTACGTAGAATAGTGATAACGATTATACTCGTATTTTGTTCTGAAATAAAAAAATTACTGGACATCGCGCCATATAAATAATGCTTTAAATGCTATTATTTATTTTTCTGTAATGCATAATTTCTTCAAGGTATTAAATATTATGTTTGTACATTGATAGATGAGTCGAAAGGAAGCATTATCTCAATTTATACAACAAATTCATGGTCGACCTGTTGTTGTAAAACTGAACAGCGGCGTCGATTACAGAGGTAGATATTTATTAACAATATCAACGTATATTAATAAATACTTACTTTTAATATTGATATGTAGTAACATTTAGCAAATTGTTTATATTAAAAGTCAAGAATTACGCCTTAAGAGTCAATTGTTTTTATCTATATCAATTTTTGTTTTTAATGTAATTAGTGAATATTACTGTGTATTAGTGATTATTATTTTGGATCTTAAATCGATATTTATAATCAGTTCTTATACTTAAGACTGTTTTAAGTAGTTTTAAGATGTCATAAATCAATCACAGATTGGTATTCATACTTGATTCTTATATTTAAGTACAATCTTAAAAATCAATCTTAAGATATCATGAATCAATCAGAGGCTGGTAGTCAGTTCTTATTTTAAAACTGTCTTAAATAATATATGTTTTAAACTGCTAATATGGCTCTCTGATTAGTTCGTAACATCTTAATACTGTACTTAAGATAGTCTTAAATAGAAGAATTAACTATGAGAACCAGAGAGCCGTGCGTATTAACATATCACTTAAGATTGTCTTGAAATAAGAACAAATTATTAATATTGGCCTAAAGTACTTTTTTTTTAACACTATATCCTAATACTATGTATTGTTTGCAGGTGTACTAGCTTGTATAGATGGCTACATGAACATAGCACTTGAACAAACGGAAGAGTATGTTAATGGACAATTAAAGGATAAATACGGAGATGCTTTTATACGGGGGAACAATGTGTTGTACATCAGTACACAGAAACGTAGAAATTAATCATGAAATATAAATAACTAAAAACTACAAGTTTATTTAATAAGCATTTGAAAAAATTCATCTTTACATATATCTCTAAACAACTACATTTTGGCTTACTTCTAAGTATACAGTAATCCGAGATAAGACAATTTTTATACTGTATAATAAATGTATTTATATGGTATCTTCTGTGGACAGCAAAACTTACAACTACTGCAAGATTTTATTTTACTTAAATATGGTCTGTTTCATTCACTGGTTCTTCATTTGATAGTATTGTCTCAGTACAACAATTGCTTCATTTATATTTTCGTTAATTTGTGATGGTATACTATCTACCTGGGATATATTCATCTCATTATGGACTGTAAGATTATTGCTTTCGTTTAGAGTTTCTACATTCATATCATCAAACTTTGTTCTCTTAACCTCTTCCTCGCGCTCTTTCTGCCTTTGGAGTCTTCTTTGAATAGCTAATTGCTTGTTCCTCTCGATTTTTTACTTTTAGTTCGTCACTCATTTCATTAGCGGTAGTATTTATATGTGGTACTTGTGAATCTTGTGTACCAGTGGACTGCATTAAAAGCTTGTCAAATGCATCCTCATTTGAAGTGCTCGGAGGATCAATAGAAGCCCGTGTTTCAGCTCTTTTTGTTTCTGAATTTGTTCTGTTATCAGCAAATCGAAGTCATCTAAAGGCGCGCTTTGCTCCTGTCCATCCTCATCATCTTTATCCGAATCATTAGTGATCAGGTTAGTTGATAATATTTTCTAGAGTTTAATTATTAATTCAGTTCGAGTAAATTTTATTATAAGGTTGGTAGCAGCACAAGAAAGGAAAAACAGAAAATTAGAATTGTGATATATCGTTTTTCTTTTCTTGAAGCTTTGGATTATACTTTTGTTTTTTCCGCCCTCTCTTTAATGGCTTTTGATTGCGTTGTCCAGGTGAGCTCACCATTTGCGTTTAGATATTAAGAATTAATAGAATTGACTGTATGTATAAGGTAACAATATTGTAAATTATTATTTATTATGTTGAATTTCATATATGTTTATTATAATAATAAATCTACAATTTTCAATATTAATAGCTTAAGTTCATATAAGAAAATAATAATTTTAAGAGATCAAATTATCGTCCAAGGTAATCATATCCAATCGATATTTCTTGATAAACACCTGCAAATCTTTCTTCGTCCCTAGTTGCTCGAGTCTCGTGAGAAAATCATCGAAATGGTAATTGGGAAATAATCGATAAGACCAATGTTCCAGTCTTTTCATGATTCTGTCAAGGTCCGTTTTTTCGTGTCCCTTGCTATAGAATTTGAAGCCTTCAAAATACTTTTCGATGGTTTGGATACCATTAGGGCCTGTCAGTCTTTCTGTGTTAAGTTTGGGCACAGGGTTTCTTACTACATGCGACTTAGACTTGGACTTGGATGGATCGATTCTCCTTGCAGTTCCTGTCTCGTTGTCAGAAGTCGCATCCTCAGCTTCTCCACGGCTGCCACGTTCGTCATCAGATTCTTGGTTCTCGTAATGCTCTATGATATCGTCGTCGCCCTCGTATTCTGGAATATCCGCCATGATGATGTCAAGTATCTATTGATTCAATTTGATCACCGTTTAAACAGATTTCTGAAAAAAATCATCAAATCATAAAGAAAATCTTAAAATGCACGTTTCTTAAATCAGTAGTAATAAAATTCTTTCTTGTGATTGGTTAATCAAATAAACAATTACTTCAAAGAATTTGTAGCAATTGTCCTCAAAGTTGCAACTGTGACCAAATCGATGTGGGAGGTATAGTTTCTCATATCAAACGATATCAAATCTATAAAGGATTGGTCTTTAAACGAGTAAACGACCTAAAAGTACAGGTTAGACTTACTTAGGTACTGATTTACAAGTCGTCCTAAAAATCGCTGTCGTCGTGCGACTCGCAACTTCCTTTCCCGTCCTCCATAAATTTGTCAAACTGTCCGTCTGACTTTTTCATACGCTCCAAAACCGATACGAGCAACTTCTTATTCAGCCGATCAGTTTGCGTTATCTCTCGCACAACGGACTCGCACTTCGGTTCGTCTTGCGTCCGTTCGCTCTGCAGCTTCCCTAACACGTTACTGTCTCGCTCCATTGGAGTGCCAGGCATCTTCTTCGTTGCTAAAAACGCTGTTTGCAGATTGTGGACGATTGTAATAAAAAATAATCACGCGTGAACAAGAAATGTAAGGTAATACGAACGAAATATCAGCAGGAAACGTTAAAATACGAACCAACCTCAATTAAGAATTAAAGATGTAGGCCCGTATTCAGAAAGCGCTTACAATAATGTTAGCACACTAACATACTATACTTTACGTCACGTATATTATAGAATTTCAGAGATAAAAGTGCGCTTTTATCGATAAAAGCGCGTTCTGAATACTACGGGCCGTAAAGAAATAAAGATGATAGGTCGACTAATCGATCTATCGACGACCATTCTGATCAATGAAGTCGGATCGATTAATCGATTGTTACGTACGACTCTTTCCTTTTTTTAAACACGCTAATGCCGGTTCTATCAATGTAACTTAACTTTAATCTCGGTTTAACTATAACTCTTCATTTTTTCTAGTTTTAAGAATAAGAAAAAGATGAAGAATGAGTTGAATCGAGATTAAAGTTAATCTACATTAGTAGAAACGAGCCTAAATCAGCTAAATTTAAAAAACACAAAAATATTACATGTATTTGCAATTACAGCAAACTAATAACATATTAAACAATTGGATTTAACTGTAAAATTATTTATATGTTCCATAAATTATTTGTAAATAAAAAATATAAAGTAATTAATAAAAAAGTATAAAATATCGCATCGATTTTTTTTTACACGTCAAACAATGAAAAATTAATAATTCTATCAATATTAACAAAAATCTGATGATTTGTAAATCCTTGATTAAATTATCGGAATTTTTTAAATATCCTGATGCCTTTATTGTTGACAGCATAAATTTTTACTAAGAGGTAATTCATTTAATTTCCGAAACATCTTCAGAATTATATGATCTTATTAATAAGAAGCAATAAAGTGGTAGCCATGAACTAAAAAAAGTAAAACCTTGACCGAGGACGAAAATGTGATCATTTCCCGTAAATAAAAGCCACACGCCGCACGTGACTGCGAGTATATTATTCGGATCAGAATCTCAGTGATTACGCGAAGAAAACAGGTGTCGCGAGGCCAAGACGTGCCAGCCAGGAAACTGATTTATGTCATGTTATATTCAAAAACTAATAAAGCGGCGATCTGAAACTGGAATGACCCAACTGTCCCCCGACTTGTCGAGAGCGCAAATATCTCGAATACGAGTGCGCGTCCAAGAACGAACATTTAATGAAATCGGGAATGCGTCTGTCAGTAATTCCGAATCACTAAAATCTATTTGTCGCACATTTATTAAATAGACATGCTTCATATTAATTATATTTAATGTTATTACACTTGGTTCGATTAATAGATACATATATGCGTTTTAGAAGATGTAAACTTTTTAGCCTGAAATTTATAATTTTTCACATGTATATTGTATACTTATATATTTTATGTATGCATACATTATGATTATAATTTTTAACATGATATTACAAGTAGAATATTCTACATTCCAATGCTAATTATAGATCGTACGCTAGTTAATTATCTAATATTTGTTAGCTCTAATATACATGCTGCTCGTTTTCGTAAGACAAGCCATATTTCGAAGACAATGCCAGAGGAGTTGCGGGTTATCGCCGTGTCATGATCCATTGTTAATGACATTAGCAATATGGATCACATCACGGCGATAATCCGTAAATCCTCTGGAATATCTTTGATTAAAGTAAATGTCCGTGGAAACCTCCGTGAAAAAGTATTAACAAGCCGTATTTGCGGACAAAAGTCAATTGGACAATCGTAATACATGGATGATATATAATACGGTTCAACAAATTTCCAGTTAAAGGATACAAAAAGTGATAAAATAATAACTTCTTTTTCAGTATAATCACCTTTTATTTTAATACATTTTTATATTTCTGCTGCGGTATTCTATTTGCAGCTGACATTTTCAAAATCTATTCTCGACGGATATTGGCTACGGGGGTATGGTTATTGAGATTTTTATTTACAGACTGAGTTATATCACACATACTGATTAATTATACGCAAAAAAATATATATAATATAATTATCTTGATCATTGCATATGCTTTTATATTTATACCTATTTATGTTTATTTCAATGACGAGAACAGACTTTACTCGCGGGCCACCTAATAGTTGGTAGAGATACTACCACGTGACATCGAATAATGTACGTCCGCGAGTGTACACAATATTATTTTATGTACGTATAATAGCATCAACAACTATTATATAGATGGCCTGCGAATAAAGTATGTTCTCGTTATTGAAATAAACATAAGTAGGTATAAATATAAGTATATGTAATGATCCAACATGAATTATATCATACATATCTAATTTTGCGTACAACTAGCTTATGCACGATATAATTCATCTGTAGAAATAAAAATCAACAACCACATAGCCAAATCCATCGAAAATTGATTTCGAAAATGTCTGCTGCAAATATCGATAGAATGCCAGCGAAAATATGGCAATTTTGGATAACGAAATGTAGTGTGAAAGAATTCACAGGAAAAATTGTTCATAAATACCAGTAAAATTTTGTATTCTCGTCAATACAAATTTTGCATTAAAATTTCGTAAAATAAAAGGTATTATTTATAGAGTTTTATCAGTTAAGTTTTAAATGTGATTATTTAATTTTATATCTAATTGTTTTTCTAAGAAAATGATTAAAAGAAGAAATATTACGTTTTCTAAATTATAATTCTAAATTATAATTTTTAAAAATAATAGTTCATCATTTTTTGGATCAATGAATTCCTATGCTACTAAAAAATATACCGAGCTTTTGTTCTTAAAATGGTTTATTGTAAATAGTTTCACTGGTAGATTTTTTCCACATAAATTAAATTTCAGTTCTGAAAAATAAATTTTACCATTAGGTTATTTTAAAAATACAAATTCAAAATATTTTTTAATGATACAGAAAAATTATTTCATTTTTCTAAAAACATATTATAATAAAAAGTAATTATATTGAAATATAAAATAACTGTTTCATTTTACTTTATTTTTATGTATCCTTTGACCGAAAATTTTTGAATCTTATAGTACGTTATAAGTGTTAGAGATCGTCGCGAAAGAGAGCGATTCCAATTTACCAACGTTGCATACGCATATCTCGGTGAGATTGAAGTGACTAAACGTATCGAAATGCATAGAAGCTGCCATTTTCGCAGCAAATAAACATCGTGTTTTTGTTTCAAGAATAATACTAATTGAGTACGTGTATTAGCGCAATATAATGCAAGCCGCATAACTTTCAATCTGTCATGACTTGTGTAGCGCATTCTCAAAAAAAAAATAATGATAAATGACCGTTCTTCGGTTTATTTCAGATACAGGATGGTTGTTTATTGTTTTCGCGTAGAGCACTGTCCGCGCAGAAGTTTTCACTTGGCAAATGTCCATTCGTATCTTTGCATCCCATCTTTCATCCCCGTCATGTGTCGGGGTATCCGGAAAGATCTACCTGGCACACGTATGTGAAGATATGTAATCTCAGAACATGCGTATCCTATTGAGAAACACACATTTCAATGCATTTCTTATTTAATTGCAAGATATTAATCAGAATCTTCAAATGCTAATGCCCGAAACTGACTCATAAGAAAACATGTCAAATATATCCTCTCCGATTTTGATGAATTTTGCATATGTTGTAATATAAGATAAAATAAGATACGCATTCTATTTTTTATAAGTGCTTCTTATTCACGTGAAGGGAATACATTTTTTTTAGAGCTAGCGATTTTTAGCATCGCGAGCATAAAGCTTAGAAAAGAATTGACTTTTATATTTCTAAGCCTTATATTCGCGATACTAAAAATCGCTCTGAAATTTCGGACGAAGAAAAAGATAACTAATCACATTGTTAATTGCAATTTATTAATTTTTTCTCCATCCATAATCTCGAAGCGATTTCTAATATTTGGATACAAGATTCAACCATAATATATCTGTGTTATCAAAATGATAAGAGATATACAAGAATGTTTTAAACTTTTTATTTTTAACTAGACTTTTATGGTTGCAAAGACATTATTCTGTGACAATGTATTTAGATATTTTATTGTTGTTTTTCCTTTTAAATAAGTAAAATGTTGCAATTAATACATTGCAAAACAATTATTTAAGGTGATCTTTTTTCAAAAAAGATTCAACTCACAATGATTGCGTATATTCTGAAACATTTTTATTTAATCATAGAATATCAGCTGAAATTGTTACACGAATGCTCGAAACTGACTCGGAAGCATAATTATTTTCTTTCTCTTGAAAGCAAGTAAAATACTCTAATTAATATCCTTTGTGAAATAATTGGATATATTCTGCTTTCAAGAATTCGTTATTACGTTGTTCTTTTTGCAAGGAGGATTTAACTCGTTGCGGTTATTTCTCATTCCAAAGTCGCTTTCGCTTCTATTGTTGCGAAGATTTTTGTCTTGATTCCAAAGCAAGTTTGACATCTGATTCGTTCGGTGCACCATACGTACTGACGGTTTACTGTCGCTTACTCCAACCGCGGGATTTTCATTCTCTATTTTCGTACCGCTGCAGTAGTGGTATAACGCTACGTTCGTGCAGGATTGTAATCGTATGAATACGAGAATCTAATAAAAACTCCTTAGATTGTGCCTCAAATCCCTTACAGAAATCTAATACAAATCAATATAATGCAGGAAGACGGTTATTAATTTTTTATTTGGTACTAAAGTACTAAACTTTTAATACTTAAAATAAATAATTAATTATTGTCTTTCACTAGTAAATTGACTAGTATCAGATTTCTGTAAAGGATACTAGAAATTTTTTAACAGCTATTTATTATCTTAAATAAATCAGAACTTTATCCTGCTTCATCTTTACCTTACTTATTTTTTTATCAATATCGTTTGTATCTTCGATTAAATATTCACTTTTTCAAAATTAAAATTTTCAATTATCTATTAAATTTCTAGTTATCTCCCCGATTTAATAACAGTTTTTTTTCTCTTTCTTTTTTACACGGCACAAGAATAGTTTTGTTGAAGTATCTAAAGAGTTAGCTAGATACAGATCTAAGAATAATTTGGTTGGATTATCAAAATAATCATATAGGATACTCAAGCTTGTTGAAATGTCAAAACTTTTTGTAGCATCACTCATCATGCTTAAGAATAGTCATTTCAACAAAGTTTACATCTATCTAAATTTTTAGTACCTCAGTACTGCTCTTTCCACGTAACTGTGCCTTTGCATCGGAAAAAGGCGTATTTCCGAATTAAAAAAATATCGATTCAAACAACGATCAGATCCGTTCCGCTCCGTCGAAGCTCTCGTTGTCGGCGTTATCGGATCCCACGGGCGAACGCGAGACGAAGAGGAGCCGTCTCGAGTCCGTCCCGCTGATACACCATTCCCAGAAATAGCGCACAAGCACCTTCCCGGAGGCAGCTTCGAAGTCCCGCTAAAGAGGCAGCAAACGCGTCCTCGACGATTGGCTGGAGCCAGACTGGGGCGCGGTCCGCGATCGGTCACGCAACCGCTATATCGCCCCATTCGAATATTATCGCGACGCTACGTCGTCTCGTAGCAGTACGTCAAATCGACGACGAGGCTTGGATTCATCGATCTCACGTTTTCGTTTGTAAATCCTTCTCGAAAGCAAGCCGCGCGCCTGTGAGACTCGGGTCGAAATCGGTCGAGTAACACCTCGGTGTCTTAAGTAGAGTAACAAAAAAAAAAAAGAGAAAAGAAAACAGTCGAATTTCGCGCCGCCACCATGGTATGTTCTATCGATGATATTGTAAGTCGTCGCCCTGGTAAACACACACGTTTTCCTGCTGTCTATACTTACGTAGTTATTTGTTGTATTTTTTAACCGTGCTCTCTCTCTCTCTCTCTCCCTTTTACTATCACTACCTCTATCTTTCTATCTTTCTATTTATTTGAATATCGTTGAAAATTATTTGCACGTGCCGCCTGGGCATTTAATTATAAACGAGTCTTCCTTTCTCTCTTTCTAATCTATCTCTTGATGATCTTTGTTTTATTTTTTGTTTTATTTTTTATGCATCGTGATTCAGTAGCGATTAACAGTGTACGTCGTGCTCGGATTTTCTAGCACGCCTAGATAAAATGTGTCTAACCGATCAACCACTTCTGACTGAGAGAGATTATTTTGGAAACGTGATGGACGAGATTCTGGAAAAACGTGATTGTTTCTTAAACGGCGAATTGACGGGACCGTCTCTTTAAGACCGTTGAAAATAAAATGTGTTTCATTATCCTAAATATATTTATGTGTGATATAATATTGATCGAAAAATTGATTAGTGTGAAAAATTGATTCTTTTCACGGCTGTTACATTACAGTTTAAGGAGAATTGTTTAAAGCGGCGGTTCGAATAAATCTATTTTAATTCATAAACTGTAACCGGTATGTTTGAGTAGAATGATTGAGACTTTTCGATAAATTAAACAATGATTTTTTAATAATAAATCACATTGTCGCCATGAAATCATTAAAAATGAACATTTTTATTTAATTATTTTATAAATATATTAGAGTAAAACAATTAATTTAATTACAATATCTGTATTTACAAACAATAAATTTAAATATATATTTCAGTAACCTTAATTTTAATTAATAATATACTTTTTAATAAATTTTGATTATAATTATCCTTTATATCAAAAGGTTTCAATATTTTAGCATGCTTAGAATTGCACGCATGAAAATTCTATCTTGCGTAAAATATATACATATATTATAATCTAAAATCACAAAATAGTACATACTTATGATTTGAAAGTAAAGATGAACTTGTTTAACGGAGACTTTAAAGATCAAAACTTGTTGAATGAAATTTAACAGTGCACGAATGTTTCCTCCCTTGCAGCAGAAATGTCCAAATTATATCATAGGAACAACTTACAGATATCGCGAATATCTGTAGGATATTCATATGATATGTTCAGAACATATCTGCTGTGTGGACTCCAAAAGTAATTAGTTATTTTTAATTGAACGCGATAAATTCACTTAAATTAACAATTTGTGTGTGTAATAATTACGATTAGAAGAATGATAAAGATTTTCGATTGATAAGTAAATGTACTTAAAATTTTTGTGTAACAATTTTTGTGTAATAATTTTGATTGATAAGACTGATAAAGATTTTTGAAGTCCAATGTGGAGTAATTAAAAAAATATTTTGTACTTCGATAATTTGTATCTTTATCGTAATTTTTGCCATTTACAGGCTGATGAGCTGCCGCCAGAACAACTTGCCGGTATGTATTTAAATTCAAAGCAACTTGTTAATATCTAGCAGAATTTCCAATAAAATCGCAATAACAATAATTCTACATTAATTTGATTAACAACCGATAGTACAAGAAATATAAAGCAATTGTATTTGAACCATATATTATCTTTTTAAAAAAAAATTTTTTATTTTAAAATCTTCAAATGCGAAAATTGTTTAATGTTTACGTCAGTTCTGAAAATTGAATACTTTATTTATAAAGGCAGACAACGAAACGATCGAAACTTATCACATCCATTGATCTCGCTGTCAGTTGCTATAACGCAAAAATAGACATCCTCATATATTCCAAGAAAATCCAGGGAATAAACAACGGTAAAACGTAGTAGCCAAAAACAAATAGACATAAATCTAGCCATCTATACATATCATTTGGAATTTAATATCGTAAAGTTACGCGTTAAAGATTTTCGAAATTATTTCACGCTTATCGCGATACATTATTATAGTGTCTTTGATAAGACGCGTATTAAAAGATCAATTTTTACGATTTAATAATATCGCCAGTTTCGATATTCATTAAATATAACGAGACACGAGAAGCCCAATTTTACAACTCACGGTTACCTGTTAACCGAGGTTCAATTTATTCCTCATTTCTTTCCAATTCTAGAATTAAAAAGAGATGAGGAATAAGGTGAACTTCGGTTAAGAGTAAATCGTGAGTTGTGAAACTGGGCCATAGTCACGATTATATCAAATATATAAGCAAATTTAAGGAAAAGTATTTAAATCGCAATCTTTCCGCAACGAAGAAAATGTGCTGGTATAGAATCATTTTTAATATCGCGACGGTGGCTACGGGATTAAAAATAGAGCTCTCTTTTACAAATGGAACATGGCAATTGAGCGTCGAGCACGGATAAATTTTCATTGCTTTCGCCGAGTTTATTTATGCGTTTGATCCGATCGGGGGCAGCTGCGGAGAACGCGGCTATGTATAGCTACGTAGAACGGAATGAAAAAGCAGCGTCTCGCGCGACGACAAAGGCGACGACGATCGATTTCACGAATATATATCGAAATGAAAATAGAAGGGAAAAACCGCGATAAAGATAGGAGAAAAAAGACAGAGGAAAGGAGAAAGAAAGGATAAGCTTTCTCGCTTTCTTTTCCAATTGTTTGCGATCGCTGGGCATATTCGCGCTCTCGCGCTTGGAGGTTTTCAGACGGATGTCTGGAATCGCGCGCAGCCTCCCGTTGCTGAATCAAGACGCAGTAATACGCGGAACATTCGAGACGTAACTCCCGCGAGTTACGAATATAGCCCTCGAACGAGATACGGTTCTTCGGGAGCGTACCGAAAATACACCGGAAGATGTAGTTTTTTTTCACGCTTCGCTGATAACAGGATTGACTGACCACGTAAATGCGACCATGACCAAACGTTCCAAAACTTTCACGTATATGTTACACAAAATATATACCTATGTGTGTATTTACAGAAATAGGAATTTATTATGTATATAAGATTAATATTACATAATTATATATGCGATATATGTAATTATATAAATCAAGATTGAATGAATAAACAGCTGATGGACACTTGTGACTTTCTCGCACAAAAACTTGAGTATCTCAGTGAAAAAAATGAGGAAATTTTTAAAGGAGAAAGATAAACCTCTTAATTGGTATTCAAATTTAATCTCTATGATTGTCCCAAATTACATAGAATTCAAAATTGATATTTTTTTAATACACTATTAATTAAAAACTGAAGAAATATAATAAATTCTTATTTATGTTCACATAAACGCACACAAAGAATAATAATTACATATCTAACGCAATGTTCCAATATACATTAAATTAGATATTAATATACATATTACATATGCATTAATATTCCTTACGATTTACGATTGCTACACAAAAGTTGGCTTATCGCCGAATAATTTCGCGTTAGGGTTAAAAATAAGGAAAACTGGAGTAGGAAGATACCATACGGTAACACGATACTAGTAACGTAAATGTCGAAAGAACTTTCAAAATCTGGATCGCGCGTTAAATCGGAGCAGTTAAATCAAATTAAATCAAATGCAATATAGATTCGTCGAAAATGTCGTAAGATCCAAATGACACGTGTGGTCGCAGGCGTGAACCGTGTAATCGCGCGTGATTTACATAAGATAAAATAACGATAAATAAATATCACGTAACCCATCGACGTGAATCGATCAGGCCAAATAAGCTCAGCGCCAACCGTCCCAGAAGGACGTTAACATACAGTCTAAATCTGTATCGCCCCGTTTAATGTCTTTAACCGGACGATTTATTGTTAGCAAAATTAACTGTAGGAGAAACCGCCCAGAAAAGAGAAAAGTCTTTCATTTCTTTTCAAGAATCTTCAATTCTTTGCGAACCGTCGAATTCTAGCTACATCGAATAATTAAAGAAAAATAATTGTATTAAAAAAGTTTGTCAAAAATTTCTTTATTTTTGCTACACAAAAGTCTGTTTCGAATTCGCGGAAATCAGATAATAAAAACGTTTTTTAATGCGAAAATATAATTTTTTGCAGTTCTGCGCAAAGCTTTCGATAGCTTCGACAGTGGAAAGAGCGGCAGCATCCCTACTGAAATGGTCGCCGATATCCTTCGGCTAATGGGACAACCGTTCAACAAGAAAATCTTGGACGAGCTCATCGACGAGGTCGACGCCGACAGTAAATATCATTAATTGTATTAATTACCTACGGCGCCACATTCAACAATGTTACAACACGTACGACGAATTCCGAAGCCTATTTAAAGAATATTTATTGACCAAACGTAACAATTGTTTATCTCTCTATTTTTAAAGTGTTTACAGACATTATGAACGGTCTCTACCGAGTTGTTGTCAAATGTCGCACAATTTAATGTGCCGTAACACAGTATCTCTCGCAGTAATTTTATTTATAGAATTCGTTGTACTTTTGCACACCATCTCACATGTAATATCCGCTTGCAGAATCTGGGCGGCTTGAGTTTGATGAATTCGTCACGTTGGCAGCGAAGTTTATTGTTGAGGAGGACGCTGAGGCGCTGGAAAAGGAGCTACGAGAAGCTTTCAGGCTTTACGACAAGGAAGGTAATAACAATTGTCACGAAACTCGTAATAAAACTAAAATATTAGGTAAAGCTCGTTATTTTACGAAGTTTCTTCAATGAAAGCATGGCTAACAATCATTTTAATAACAGCAACTATTTTTTTTTTATAAATTCAAGTTATTTCGTAGAGATTTCAAAAACAGCGATCAATGTTTAGAAATGTGAAAATAACACGTCTTTACACAAATTATGCAAGCACATCATATATTTAAGACATTTTTCTAATTTTTTTGATAATTGTAATAAATATATACGTATAATTCGAGTCTGATTTTTAATATTTTTTAATACGATCAATCTAACATTCTTCACATGAAGATAGTAAAATCAATACTCTTTCGATATGGCGGTAAAGTACTATATATGCTTTTTAAAGATATGTCAACTTTTTCCATATGGTTTTTTTTAAGATAAAAAAGCTTTAAACTCTTAAGTTGTTTTTTCTGATTTTTCTCATGTCCCTTTCTTATAATCTCTAAAGTGAGGTTGCCATATGGTAGTTGATAATTTATTTCAAGAAACAAATCAGTTTTACAGTGTGAAAAGACTTGGCGTGACAAGCATGAGATATGCGCCGAGGAAATTTCAGAATACGTTTGTACAAACAGGCGCATTAAGTTCGCATCAGTTTCGTTATATGCGAACGTAAAAATAAGCCGGAGATTCCCGATAGAGGAAGCTCACGTGGCGGCCGAGAGCCAAGAATGTCGTAACACATCTTTCATGAATTACGATTATGTCGAGGGTGTAGCGTATGTATTTTAACGTGGCTGGCACCGAGAAGATAAATATTGCAGAGCAGATAAATTTTGCAATTACTATTTGTGTCAAGTGAAAGGGAGATGAGTACTACGTGCCAAAATAGATTCTAAGGATATATAAATAATGCAGCAATGTAACAATATTCTCAGATTCTTACAAGTGCAAGAGGAAAGATGATATTATACTAATCATATTACAATTATCTCATGCGTACATCATTTAAATATTATTAAATCTTTACAAAAATCCTTATAGAAATTCAATTTAAAGATATATTTCCAAGAGTTGCTCAAACCAGCCGTTTCAGTGACAATTAAAAAGATCATGCGATCAAAATTAATCTGATATTCATCAATTTTCACCTCCTTTTTGTCGCTGAAACAGCCAGTTCAAGTGGCTAAGAAAATGTGCCTTAACACTAACCAACTTAATTCTTAAAATAAATAATCACTACTTTCCAGTATTGAATTTCTGTATAAAAAATTTGTGATTCTCTGTACATTTTATCTATTCTATCAGGTAATGGTTACATCCCAACGACGTGCCTACGCGAAATCTTAAGAGAATTGGATGATCAACTGACGAAAGAAGAATTGGATATGATGATCGAGGAAATCGACTCTGATGGCTCCGGTACAGTAGATTTTGATGGTACGTTTTTAAAATTTTCCTCTTCCTTCTCTTTCAATGAAATATAATGTCCAATAAATTACAATACAACTTGCAAGACAATAATCTACCACGACAGGGTTAGCGAAACAGAAAAGAAAATTCCTTGACTTTTCTCGGTTTTTTCTGATCGCTAACATATAAGACAAATCTGTATAAGATAAAAAATTTAAATTAATTTTATTGAAGAAGATAATTTCTTTATAAAGTCATTTATCTTTCGGTACTATGCCGGTTTTAATATTTTTGATATATCATATACAATTATAAAATTTATAAAACAAAAAATATTTAATTAAAAAATTCAATTCATTTCATTTCTTATGAAGAATAAGCATATGTCAGCGTATATCAATGTCATATAAGTTGAATAGAGAGCCAAACGATTTATTTATATGCGGGCGTGCTGGCAGATCGAGGATGCCACTGATCTCGCGATTCTGTCTATTTTTATATTCGTACTTAATAAATCGCAGCGATTCATCAAAATCACACGTCCGTTCCAATTTCTAATGAATTTCGCATATAATATTAAGAAATATTAGAATGTAACCCTTGAAATGATAGAAAGATTTGTAGCAAATTAGATGTGAAATTCGATTCTTAGTACTAATTTGTATTTCTTACAAGAAATTAAGTAACTTTCCTACAACAAACTATAATTTAGTGACATATAGTTAAGTGCTTATAAAAAAAGAAAATTTATTGTGTTTCTAAAAGGGAGATATATCAACAAAATGAACATTACTGTAACATATATTGTATTTTTTCTTTTCAGAGTTTATGGAGATGATGACCGGTGAATAATCACTTTGAATGAATGGTGAACTGCTTTTGAATCCAAAGACACTTATGCAATCCATGCAATCACGTCTTGAAATTAATCATTCGCGTGTTTATGAGGAATTAATGCACATCGAGTTTGTTCGCACAGAGATATTTTCCATTTCATGATTAGTCTCGAAAGCAAATTCCCACCATAAACGTCGCATCGAATGAATTGTACTTTCTGCTTTTATACACATACGTCATATTTATTATAAAACAATAAATTTTACTTTCATACACTTACATAAGGCTTGGAATTTTTCATTGAAAAATTAGAATATTTATTGTTAATAAAACAAGATAAAAATCTAATATCTTCTTATTTAATAAAGTAAATTACTTTCTTCATGTTTGTATATACGGATATAGAAAATTTATAATACTTCTTTACCTATTTAGAGACCAATATTTTTTTAAATATCTGTACTCAAGCACATTTTTTTCATTCTGTTTTGATTAAAACCTGATATAAAAGACGTTACTGCTATTACATTAATTTTTAATGTTTTTAACTTATTTGCAAAGAGACTAAATTATATAACATATTTATTTCTGTAAATGTTTTATTTTTATATATAGTTCTTTTATTTTGTTTGTTTTTTTTTATTACGTAATAGACAAATAGATAATTTATTTTTAGACTATGACTCCTAACAGTTTTCATACTAGATAACAAAAATACAAGTAAAAAAATTGATAATCATATTTATTATATTATAAATTGACTCTTTAAAAGTTAAATTTTAAATTATTAGTTATGGAGAAAAAGAAAAAGAGCAATATTTTATGTGACAGTTATGAGCTAAACTTTTTATTTATTTAACATTTAATTATAATCACATTAAATTTGAAATTCCTTTATAATTGACATGTTGATAATCGCAAACATAACGTAGAATAACATGCTTAAAAAAATATAGTTACTAATCATAGACTAGCAAGTTTACTGATTACAGTGGCACCTAGTAAGTCTTATAAGTAAGTCCGTACGAATTTTTATATACCTAAAATTTTATTTTTACGATAAAAACATTTGCAAAATAATGATATTTGAAGAAAGTATTGGTACTTGTCTGAAAAATAAAACATAAGCTAGAATTTATGTAATTTCTATGACTTAGAATATTGTGTTCTGACATATATAGACGTGGACTAGACTACACTTTATGGAGAAATAATACTAATAATTTTATTTAATTTCTCCGTTTTTTAACAATACACACAGAGATGTATGTACCAGCTGCATGTGTTTATATTAAAGTTTTATCTCAATATATATAATCTCTATATATAAATTATTTTACTTATATATTATTACCAACTATATTAAATATAATTTAATTTAATTATGTAAATGTTGGAATGCTTAGATATCAATGGTCCTCACAATAAGAATGAAAAGGATTTCTTTGTTATGTTTCATACGTTACGCATATATAATAATTTCATATATCTTTCCTACTAAATAGTTCATTTACACAAAGAGTAACGTCTTGTAGCACCAACAGAATGAAGACTTTTATGGCAGTCATAAAACATATCATTATCACTTCATAAGCTACGTGTGCGTTTCTTTTTACTAGATAAAATATAGAAGAGCCGTAAAGGCTATTAACAAAATTTGTTTCTCTTCTTACCGTTAATAAATTCTCAAAGTTACTTAAACAAGAGTTTGCAAGTCATCTTCGTCCAAATCTTGATCAGACGAGGGAATTAAATGTCACATTCTGAACAAATGTGGAAATTCGTTGCTAATTTCGCGTACTACTTGCTGGTCTTCATGACTGTCTGCCGTTTCTTCGCAAAATATCCTAGTGCAGAGTACAAGATATACATGTAATAAAGTTTTATAAAAAAAATACAATAATAATAATATTTATAATATTAATATTTAATTATTTAATATTTATAATAAAACGTAATAGAGGACATTTATATACATCTAAATCTTTACCTTGTAAAACATTTTAATAAATCTCCAGATCGATGACGATGCTCATTATAATTGGATGTGCGTAGAACTCGGCGGCAAAGTTCCAGATATTGTCTACGCTGTCATTACATATATAAAATTATACATATTAAATATACATATATTTTTAACAAGTCCAATATGAAATTATAACACAACATAATGTAATACCTTATCTCCGGGAAACATATCAAAAAGTTGTCGTAGTATGATGTCAATAAGAACTTTTACGTCGTTGGTGTAAAAGAGACTTGCTATGGCATCGTTACTAAACAAGTCGACAAAAAGTTTTAGTACAGAGTGCGGCGGTTGTGGCTCATGATCAAATATTCGTACCGGATCCTCTGCGGTAAGGTAGAAGTTTGTCAGCTCGAATTATTTCTGACATACATATTATTTGTAATAAAATTTACCTTCTCTATTAAAAAGAAATAAAATTTTTTCAGTAAAAGTCTTGGCTACAGTTCGCTCACGTAGGGCGTTTAGAACGATATTCTCAGAAGTTGTAAATTGTAAATTGTAGGATAATATCAAATTTATGAACAAATCTGGGATTTGATCTTCCAGATCTGTATCAGGTGGTGTTTCTATTAGGTCCAGCAGGAACGATATAAAATCTGAGCCAAGTTGTTCTGTGTAAACGAATCAATAAGAAATATATATTTTAATTTCTATTTTTAATAATGATATTGTATAATCTATTTTATTCACCTAAATGCGTGACTGGCATGGGTTCACCCATTGAAAAAATCATTGTAAGCAATAACGAAGAATAATTTAATCTTAATACATTCCTGGGATTACTTTTCATATCTCTGTAAAAACCAGAATTTTTGTTATTAGTTAAATATTAGTTAAATATACTTCATTATTAAATGTCTTATTACTCATACCTTGCTAATTCCATTGGTAGAATACTATTTAACATTATAGTTAGTACCACTGGATCTAAACTGCACATAACGCCAAATGATTGCAACAACAGTTGCCTAATAGTCCATCTCGTCTCCATTTGATAATATTGTATTAATATAGTTACGCCATTGTATCGATCTTGCCTTAAAACATATCTCGATACATTTGCATCAGCATTAGTCTGAAAAAAGGTAAACGTATGAATATATCAATCATAATAAAATCAAATTAAATCAAGTAAATCATATTTATACCACATTTTTAGTATTAAGAATAATACACATATATATTTCTAAGAGCATTCATGTAAATTTGAAAAAAAAAAAAAAAATCTTAATTGAAGAGTTAGAAACAAGCAATATTAAGAGTTAAATATAATACTAAGCGTGTGGTGTCGATATAATTCAAGTTATTGCCTTATTTCATAAAATTAAATATACCAATATTTCGGTCAATTCTTTGATATATTCCACGATAATAGATTCATCTTCATAAAGCATCCAACTTCTTTGCTGCGAATCTTCCTTGCACGAAGTCAATTCGGTAAAAATAATTTTCAATCTGTTAGCGTCGTAAGTTTCTTCTATACTCATTTTTGACACAGTCAACGGTGTTTGTAGCTGATGCAGCAAAGCATCGAGATAATGACTTACAGTTTCTGGCAGCAACTGCTGCAGGCTAGACACTACAACTGTGACTGCTACTTTCGACATTTCATGACTAAGTTGAGTATTTTTGCGTACTTGATCGAGCAATTGGTAAGCACTTCGCGAGTTAATAGCTTGTAAAGAATTGCTCTTTATTGGCGAGCTGTTCTTAGCAGGCGAATTGCTTTTATTTGGCGAGTTGCTGCATATGTTTTGTATGCTACCTTGCGAGGAGGTTTTGCGAACTTCAGTAACCGATGTCTGGACTTTTTGAACAGTGTCCGAAGACGTCTGACGAGGAAGTGATTGAACATGTTGCTCGTCTCCATTCGGCCGTTGACATTGTGCAATTGCTGGAATATGATCTGTGTTATTACTGCGAAGAGTTGTTTGTGCAGTTGCGTAAGAGGTATTGCTTGGCGCTGATCTAATATCTGCTTCTGTATTGTCACAAGCAATCAAAGAATGTGTTTCTTTAGATATAATGCTGCAATCTAAATCTGGTGGTTTAGGCGCTTGTCTTTTGTTGGATTTTTTGCTCAGTTCGATTTGTTTCTTCCTTTCTATTAGCTTTGCTAAGAGATCTTGCTTGTCAGGCTGCACTGACTCGCTATCCTTCTTAATTTCCGTTTCTAAAGTCAGTATACAATCTTCCAAAAAATCAATCAGGAACTGGGGCTGTGCCTGTGAATCAATCAATAATACAATAGACCTGTTTTAAAGTTTGTTCTTTTGAGCTGAATTTCTCATACAATTCATCTTTTTCTTTTCCTCTCCGATGTGAAAAGAAAGAAGAAACATAAGTTATGCAAGAAGCTCAGTTAAAGAACAGTTCTTTTTTTAGCTAAATATCTTGCACAGTATATCTTTTATTTATCTTCTCTCTTTAGGCCTGTTCTTTTTAGCTGAACTTTTCGATTCATAGATCATCTTTCCAATCTTTTCTCTCTTTTTTACATGGAGAGAAAAAGAGGAGAGATAAAAAATGCAAAAAAGTTCAGCTAAAAACAATAGACCTTTTTTCTCTACAGTGAAAAGAAAAGGGGAAAGATACACTATGCAAACAGTTCAGCTAAATAGAATAGGCCTAAATATTCGTATATGCCTCAAACCAAATTTCACATACCTTCACAGAGGCAACATAATTGGAGGGTATGTAGCCCAGACGTCCTCCTCTGTTTACAACTTGCCACCAGTTTTTCTGCTTAACATTACGCTGCAGCAGAATGAAATACTCACCTTCCCGGAAGCTGAGAGTCTTGGCAAATGTGGCCTTGAAGTCGTACAAGGCCTTAACCATTTCGTAGCTATCCGCAGCTGTAAAATATACAAAATGTAAAGAGAGAGAAACGAGAAAACGAAAAAAATATATCTTGAACGTGTGCCTCCGAAGGAATATAAATACGGCGAGCTTACCTAACCTAGTCGCGCTGTTATCGACGTTATCCTCCATCGTGAAAAGCAAGAGTGAAATGCAACGGTCTCGACGGCGACAACGCCCAGGTGAAAACCAGAATGCCGAAGAACCGCCTACTTACTTTCGTTCGCGTTTGGACATCTCATTTCCCTACCACTTGCCTTTTTCTGTCAATGGTTTTTTGCTCCGACCGGCCTTCCCGTGTGTGCGCGTGTATATTAATCACCTCTCGCTTGCGATTGACAGTACTGACTCTACTGATACACGGATCACGGATCGGCTGTTACCGCGAGATCGACATCGAATTCGTCGAACTATCGCCGTTCACCCATTCACTCGCTCGCTGTCGCATGCTATTGCACGAGTTACAAATTCGTGCGAATTATCGATCGTGCGTATCATACCGCTCCCGTTTTATAGAATTTTAATACTGAAAGGTACATTATATTTTGAGTATTAAAAACACTATTGTTCAATAAGATGAAATATTCATTCTATTCTATCTTGATATACAATGAAGTACTATAAGATTTAAGTTTTATTTTATTGTAATATTAAGAGTATCTGAAATAAGTTATTTGTTCTACTTGTGTGGTGAAAATTTGTCTCAGAATTTTATACAAATTGAAATACTTTTCAGAAATACTGAGAAAGTCTACATCTTTTGTTAGAATTCTTCATATATATATGAATTCTGAGATTTAAAAAATTTTATAATTTCTGAAAAAATACCTTGAACTTATTCAGATTTTATAACATTTCATCACAAATTATAGGATGAGAAATCTTAGAAATGTCAGAATATTTCAGAATTCGCACATATGAAAAATTCTAGAAGAGATATAGAGATATTTTTTGGCGCTTCTAAAGAGGGTTCCAATTTATATAAAAAATCTGAGAAAATTTTTAAAGTAGAAGATTAAAAATTCTAAATTTTTTTAAATTTTAATTTTATATTAAAATTCTGAGAAAAATTTTTATCATGAATTTATGTCTAATTACTTTCTTTGAACAATAGTATTTTTAATACTAAGTTAGAAAATTAAAAATTCTAAATTTTTTTAAATTTTAATTTTATATTAAAATTCTGAGAAAAATTTTTATCATGAATTTATGTCTAATTACTTTCTTTGAACAATAGTATTTTTAATACTTAAAATAAGCAATTTTCAGTATTAGATTTCTGTAAAAATCGGTCTACCTCTTACTGAATAAAAAGTAGACTGATTTTTACGGTATAATTTTCTTCTACTCAAACTTTAATTTACACAATGATAAGCATATCAAACGAAAGCGCTTAGGTGCAAATAAAGCAAATTTATTTCAGAGACTATCAATATTAAGTATTAACTTCTACCAAATCTTATCGTATTTTATCATATATCAAGAAAAATTGAATGTTGCATTTATTAATAATGACAACACTAAAAAAATAATAAATGTGAAAAATTTATTAATAACTTTTATGATACATTTCATAGACTTAAATTATCTGTACATATATAGATTAAAGTTATATTTTGATTTATGTAACGATAAATCATGTGGGCGCAAAGTCTCCGTGGATTATGCAGACTCAAACATGCCAATACCCAGTAATAAATTTCTACGTGAAAAATGTAGCGTTAGGACAGATGTGTTTTTTGTCGGGAAGGTACGTAGTAGATAAGATTCCGAGTTTGTTTTTACATCTGGATTGTGCGAAACATTGACATCTTCCAAACTCATCTCTTCTGCTAATTTTATGAAATCCCATAATTTCAGTGTACAGTCCAAGGAACCTGTCAAAGTGACACAATCAATTATTGTTTGATATATTTTTATTTGATTTACCTAAAGTGATGAATAATGAAAATACCTGAGACTAGAATATTGCCATCCCGACTAAACGATAAGCAATGAATATTCCCTGTATGACCAGATAAGGCCGCAACAAGGTGACCGTGAGCCAAATCCCACACAAGCACACGATGATCTGCCCCAGCTGAAGCTAAAAAGCGACCCTCTGTTGAGAAAGCTAAAGAAAAAATCGATCCTTTATGCCCAGTCATCAATCGGACTTGATTTCCAGTTACACAATCCCATAATCTCACGGTCATATCGCTTGAACCACTTGCGACATAATTCGAATTTGGATGAAACTGAATTACCTATAAAGATAATGAAATAACAGTTAATTGTTTTATCTAACGACCAAACAGAGCACGCAGCATGGTGGATAGCGCGCGAGTCCACCATGCTAGACTCGCGGACAAACCCTGTCTCGATTTTAAGATGTTGCACCATCGAGCGAATAAATGATCAAACAAATAAATTAATGATAGTAAATGTTAACTCACATCAATATCTGAATAATGACCAGAAAATATTCGTAATGGTTGATGAGAGTCAGTCGCCCATAATCTGGCAGTTTTGTCATTCGAGGCACTTGCAAAGTAATAACCGTGCGGTGAGAATCGTACGCACCACACGGGAAATAGATGGCCTTTGTAACAAACGACACATGTCCATGTGTGCAGTGACCATAGCCTTACTGAACAATTAAAATTATTACACCAATTAATTTATCTTTACTGTACTAATATTACAGTAATAATTACACCAATAACTTTCATTACATGATTGAATAAACATTAAGTAATATAATCAAGTCTTACTTGTGGTATCTTCTGATGACGAAAGAAGAAGATTTCTGTCTGGACTAAATGAAAGACTGTAAATTGGCCCACTGTGACCATACAGGTTTTTCGTAGTTTCAGATGTTCGTTCATCCATCATTCTAACCAATACGTCTTCTATAAAGTTTTTTGCAACACATTTTAGAATAATATAAGTAAAATAAATTAGCTTCTATCATGAGATTTTGTGTTACCTGCTTCTCTTTTAACATCTTGTAATGGTTCACCCGTTTTCATCAACCTCAATTTTTGTGGAATTAAACTCCACACTTTTATGGTAGAATTACTAAATCCGGTAGCTAATAAACTTGAGTCCTCTGCTATTTCTGCCGCTGTCACACTAATTACAAAAGAAGATTTATGGAATGGATATTAATGAGAAAATTTAATTTCATATACTTACGTGTAAACAGTGTTTAACATAGTATAAAAACATATAGATGGTAATGTGTCAGGTCCAAGGACGACTCTCTTTGACGCTTCCCTCAAGGACTTAATTTTTTCCAGTTTATCTGCATCTTTCCTAAATTGAAAAGATGTAAATTGTGAGACCGTAGAGAAACATCCTGTTAATTCTTTAACACCAACAGAAGCAAATCATTAAAGAACCTGCAAGACATATTTATCTTACAGATTAGGTAACGGCATTCTGCCCACAGCCGGTGCATTTGGATCAGATTTCGTCTTTTTTGAAAATAAGGGATCTTTCTTAGCCTTTTTCTTTTTTGGCTTATCACCATCTGTACCACCTTCTTTATCATCTTCCTCTTCTTTATTTGGCTCTATACATTGAATATCTGGTTCCTTTAAAAGTCCGTAATAGACTTTGACCTTGTTATCTACATTTTAATAATTTGTTAATAGACATTTTTTTATAAAACATAAAAATAAGGAATAATTCTCTTGTTATAAAGAAATTTTATTACCTTGCCTGGTAGCCTCTCCTACCATAGCTCCAGATGTTGCTTCTATCTGTTGTTTATTACGAGCAACACCTTCATACATATCAAAGTAAAGATGCTCCTGTATGATGTTTAATAAAACACTATGTTTCTTTTCTTGCAAATGTCGTTTTAGTATCGAAAGAGTATCCCTCGACATTCTGATTATAAACTGGTTAGATCTGCAAGTACAGATATCAAATAATACTTAGGATTAAATTATACTTAGGTCTGAATAATATTCATCATATATTGCTCGCTTCTATGCTTACTTAAAAGTGTCGGTTAATTCATTCCCTGCCATTTGTTCCCGTTTTGTTACATTGGATAATCTTTTCAAGTCATCCTGATAATACTCTTGTAAGTTTCCACTGAACTTTTCCATGAGTTGTTTTGCTTCTTGAGAATGATTATTATAAACCAATTCCAAATACATGTGCACCAAAACTGGATATAATATGGTTCCCAGCTCATGCTATCATTATATATAATCTTGTATAGAATATAATATAATCTTGCATGATACAAGTTCATATTAATACTATCATTATATATACTAATCTTCTGCCATTAATATAAGACTTTCAAAGTACAACCGATTTTTGGATTGTCAATTCTGATAGATAATTTTAAATCTATAAAAAATAAGTAAAACACAACTCGATTTCTATAATAGGAAAAAAACTTGTTAAAGCTTTCAAAAATACACAAGAATTTGTTGAAATTTTTATACACTCTGAAATAATATAAAAATTTGCACTAACAATAAGTTCAAAGACAGATTGCTAATGAAAAGTGTACAATTACACATTGCCCACGCAACAGGAGATTTAATAAATATAAATCATTATTTTATATAGTAAATTATATTATATGAAATAATATATAAGCAGACTTATTCAAAATTTAATTCGTAAAAAACTCTTTCCCTTTCCTTCATTATTTCATTGAGCAAGACAGAACAAAAATAAAAAAGAAATGGAAGTTAAATTGATCGTACACTGACTATACAGGAAGAATAGACACTAAAGCTCTACAGTAACTGGCTACTTTAGAATCTATTCTTTATTTTCTCTCAACGAGATGATGAAAAGGAAGAAATATATAACTTGTGAATAAACGAAGTTTTGAACAGGTATGATATAAAGCTGCATATTTATATTGTAATATTTGACATAAAATACATGTGCATATGTACTAATGATAACTTTGGCTCACTTTATAAATATCCAAGGCTCCTTCCACAAATTTTTTCAATTCGCTATATGCTTTCTCATATTGTGCAGGATCACCTTCGCTTTTATAAGCAGAAAGGACACTGGTCACATCAGAATCAGATTGTTGAGAGTCATCAATCGAAATATCAGTAAGATTAGCTTCTTTTCTAAATAATTCCTCAGTTCCCTAAAAACACAAAATAACAAAAATACGTAGCTATTTGTTTGTAATTATGCGTGTGAGTAAAAAAAAGATCTATTTATTAAATTTTTCAATAACACCGAATACAGGTTAGGATTTGGAAACGAAAGAACATTTTCTAACTTACCTTAAAATTGTGCTTCTTCAAAAGCTGCAAAACTGCGAGCATGGTATTTTTATCGGTATCCATATTTGGACAATTATCTCTATTATTATAACAACCAAGAGAAACAAATATCTGCAACGGTCAAAAACCAACCAACATAGCTTACGGCTTGAGTGAAAGCCAACTGAACCTAACTGAGAACAGTGAACACTGAATTATATTCTTTTTCACCGGAGGTCTGTTAATTACATC